GTTAGCACGTTGAGCGCGTTTCTACCATCAACTAATCACACGTATGCGTTTACAATTTCCAGTTTCTTATTGGCCAGTGATTCGATCATCATATTTTTGTTATCCGGATCGGGATTTTCTCGTATGGACGCACGGCAGCTAACGGTTAGCAGGATCCGGATCCTGCTAACCGTTAACTGCCGTGTGAGGACATAACCATAAATATGTAAAGTAAGCACGTTTGCGCTTGCACATGAAAACTGTTAAGAGGCACATTTGTAACAGAACAGAAATGAAGCTTCGTGGTTGCGATATATCAAAACCGACCTTGGGGGAAGTGCAAGAATTTCATACCTGTGGGCATGTATTATTTGAGTTAAAAACATTAACATTTATATAGGGCATTTTTCTACAATATATATTATAATCTGTGGCGCTGTACATGAGTTTAATTAATTAATTTATTTTTATTTTTTTTAAATGGTGTTGTTCTCAACATAAGACAAGAATTGGTCATGCGATGCACGTTCAACCAGCTTGGACACAAAGGATAGGTTGCTTAAAGGCCTATAGTTCTTGAAGATACATTCAAGACCCTTCTGTGGTTTCATAACTGATGTTTTCCATCTGTGAGCAAACACGTCGTTACACAAAGAGATGTTGATCATCCTTATAATGCCTACCGTACTCGCACCAAAATATTTTTGCACTTCCACTCTGCAGCTCAAATCATGCCAACAACCACAGTCCCAGGATTGAGTGGATTACTGAATTGCTAAAAAAAAAAATCTTATGGGCGCTTATTCAATTTAGAAGGGGGCGCGTATTTAAACGGGGCGCTTAAGGACATTTTCACTTTAGGAGGGGCGGTTATTGGAAGGCGCTTATTCAAACGGGGCGCTTATTCGCGCGAGTAAGGTACAGTATGTTTATGCTATCTTTTTGTGGGACCAAGCAACAATATACAAGGGGTGGGGCTTAATGAACGTTCCTTTTCACTTTTGTCCTTGGGTATAAGGTAGGCCTAAGGTTTATTTTACAAAAACTTTTCTGTCTTTATACCCCAGGACTATATAGTACGATGCTGCGATATTTCAATGTAGTACTAGTTTTGACTAGGTATCGGTATTGGTATGCTCCCCAATAACTAGGACACTTTGTGATGGTGTGCCAATACATGTTATCATGGACGACCAAATAATAACACTGTCGCGCCTTTAATAATTATTTGTTTGGAATTTTTGGAACCATAGTGAAGTTAATACATGAATTATTGGCGGTAGAATTGATGTAGACCTGTCAATTGTTCTTTCCGCCAAAATCTATTGCGGACGTAAGATTTCCAAGTGTGCTGTGCAGCAAAGTCAATTTAAGCGGACTGATTTTGGCCTATGTGGACTACATTTGGCAAGTAATTATGAGGCCAAAATCAGACCGCCGGACCGATTTTTGCCCCGGACCAAAGTTTTCCTGACAGGCCCATACCTGAAAATAGCGCCCCTCGATAACCCAGCAAAAAAAAACGCATTAGAGAGTAACTGACCTGATAACTGACCTACGTTTTCCGGCCATCTACAGGTACTATTTCCTTAAATTTTTGCACGCACCCCTACCGCTAAATCCTGCATTCGCCTCAGCAAAGAGTCCTTATCCTCTTGTTATTATCAAACCCAGAGGTGACGGAACTAGGGGATGCTGTGTTATGGAGAGTAATGTGTGACCGGAAATGGTCTGCAGTCAGTTGGTTGTTACCGGTACCATGCGCCAGTGATGTTGGAGTATATAGTACAGCAATATGAAACTATTAGGCCTAATGAATGAATAAAGTTCAGAGTTTGTCGGGTAGTGAAATGATTATTTCACATTTTAAGTGCTCCCTAAATTCATAAGTGTCATCCATGTGCAAAAGCAGTGGTGTTTGTTTATCCATGAAAAAAGCACGCCACCGAGAAAGTTTGCCTTACCAGGAAAAGGTGACGTATCTTGCTTATGACGTATGCATGCTAACTAATGTGAGTGTGACGTCACCAAAAAATGAATATTTTCTATTATAACCAAAATATTAATAACTACAAAGTTTATGGGCGTAAATTCCCTTAATACGAATGAAGGGTTGCACAATCTCCTTGCCATATAAATTACAGCTCCCATTGACGTCTCAGTCGAGAAATACGGGTAGCTGAAGTTTTTCTCTTAAATCTGACTACAAAACTATGGGGTATGGGGTGCCATACGCAGCAAAAGTCCATGTTAAAATCAAAATGTGATTGCAAAATTATATGTCTAATTTATCAAAACGTAGGCGTAAATTTCTCAAAACGTAGATCTAGTTTCCCAAAATGAAGTTCAAATTTTTCAAAATGTAGTTCTAATTTCTTTAAAATGTAATTCAAATTCAAAACGTAGGTCTGACTTGATCAAACACCCTCTCCAAATTCTATTCCAAAACGAAAATCAAAAACCAGCCTGGTTATGAAATGCATTTGACAACAACACTAGAAACGGACTTTTGCTGCGTATGGCACTAGACTTGCGAAATGTAAATCAAAACTAATCAGCCAAGCATGACGTGGGCCTGTCCCATTGATGATGGGGGAATCATTTTTCGCTGCAGTCCAATGCCGTGAACAACGCTTCCCAGTGCGTCTGCTAATTTTTAATGGTCAGGATACCGCGATCACGAGCCCTATGCTTGGCATTATAGGTTAGGCT